CACACAGTTGCATATTGTCAGACTAATGAAGCCAATTGCTTTTAACAAAAGTATTATGCAACATACCTTCAAAAATCAGTATTGTGCAAGCTATGATATTCCCTATGGATTTCAAAGAAGCGGGATAGGAAGAAAACAACTTGATGGCACAAAAATCAATAAACCAAACAAACATCATTAAAAGGACCAATCCTTCCTAATAGGCAACATAGATGTTTAACATGTATCCCTACTCAATGTCTGAAAGCTAATAAGAACTCTTAAAAAGATAGTAATGATAATAATAACTAAGCTACTAAGTTTAGGTGTCACCTGATTCCCTGTGATTCAACAAAAGAGGATTTTCTAAGCAGTCTGATCCTGTTTCTTTGATTTATTTGAGGACCCAGATTGTTGGGGGAAATATGCTGACTTTGTAAACTGCTTTGTGAAGCACTATATAAGTCTAAGTGCTATTGCTATTATAGTATAAGAGAAGCAACTCATCCAGTTAAATAAAAATAGACTTTTATAAAATAATGTAATAATTTATAACTTCACATTTTTTTCCTATCTTTGTCCTCTTTTTTTAAAACAACATATGGACTTTATAGTTGTTTTTATCTAACCCTTTGGTTTAATTGAAGCATATTGAATTTTGACACTTGTATTTCTTTTATTATTATGTTGCTTTCATCCATTATTATTAATTTATTTTCTATAATTTAATGCATAGAACACAATTGAATTAGTCAATCCATTTTTGCAGAATCATAAGTAAATCTGTTTTGTCCTAGTTCTATAACTCTCTGTGACTTTCGTAAAATCTGCGTGAAGAGTCTTCCTTACTATATTTTTGTGGTTTTTCTCCTGACAGAATTTTGGGGTTGTGTTTTTTTAGTCAAGAAACATACTAGAACATTTGGAAAGTGTGGGTGGAAAAGTTCCAATCTGTACATTAGAACAGGAATTTCAGATCAGTTTCCATGAGAATTCTTAGAGCTCTACTGCAACCTCCAGAGCAGGCCACAGCTTGGTGGTTTCACTTTCTTTTGAGTTTTCATCAAATTTCACTGAGAAATTTCCAAGGCTTTGGTTACCACCAGTTGAAACATGTAAATTTGGACCACCTAGAAAAGGGTCCTCGAACGTTTTAAACAGGGGGCCAATTCACGGTCCCTCAGACTGTTGGGGGGACTGGACTAGCTGGCTGGGCATGGCTAGGTGGTCATGTGACTGGGTGGGTGTGGCTAGGTGGTCATATGACTAAGTGGTCATGGTCAATTTAACAGTTCATTAAACAATGCACACAAATTAAACTTTAATTTATTTTGCTCCTGGGGGTGTTTTATTTGCTTTCATTTGCATGTTGCTCTTTTGACTGTCTTTTCTTTTTACTAGATTGTTTTTTCAGTTGTTTAGGAATCTAGTGGTCCACTTCAGGAAACTCAGCTTTGCAGCAATTCTTCTCAGCCCCAAGAAACTTGAGAAGTCTCTCTCTCTATGTGTGTCTCTTCTTTCTCTCTCCCACTCTCTCTCTCTTTCTTTCTGTCTCTCTCTCTTTCTGTCCCTCTCTCTCCTCTCCTTCTCTTTCTCTCTCTCTTTCTGTCTCTCTCTCCCTCCCTCTGTCCCTCTCTGTCTCTCTCTCTCTCTCTCTCTCTTTATCTATCTTCCGGAGGTGGGGCATCCATGCACTCTGTTTTTCACCTCTCCCACCTCCAGAACATCTCTGCAGGCCAAAAAGGGCCAAAAATGGCCTCCTAGGACATCTGTATGCCCCCGTTTTTCACCTCCCCCACCCCCAGACATCTGTGTGCCCCCGTTTTTCACCTCCCCCACCCCCAGAACATTTCTGCAGGCCAAAATTGTTGGCCTTACCTTTCAGTTCCAGCCCATGGGACTCACAAAGGTAATCCTGCACTCGACTGAAAGGTGGGCGGGACGATGTGGGTGGGGCAGCCTCATGGTTCTGCACGGGCCAGATTAATGGCTTCAGTGAGCCGCATGTGGCCCACAGGCCATAGTTTGGGGACCCTTGACCTAGACCAAATCATGTGGGCTCTGGAAGATGTATTTCTGAATTAGGCAGGAAAAAGCCAAAGGCACTGATTGCCATGCCAATTGATTGATTGATTGATTGATTGAATGCCATACAATGTCAGGGAAATCTACACATGTCCAGTCTTGACAACCTAAATTGCTAGTTCATTCTGTTAGGTGTTTGTGTGCCTATCCTTGATGCAGGGGACAAATTAGCTAGGTATGGGAGAATTAATTGGATATAGATAGTCCTCAACTTACAACTGTAATGGAGCCTGCCCATTACTGTCATAAGTCATGACAGTCCTAAAGTGGGATGCCAAATGTTAAGTGAATGCCATGCTTGTTAAGAAAACCCATAATTTGCTATTGAGTTTTTTAGTTTTTGGTTTTTGCTGAAAACTGAAAATAAACATTGGCTTTCGGCAAAAACTTTGTAAATCAGGGTCATGTGACTGCAGTGTGTTCAAACAGCTGTAAATGCAGGCTGGTTGCCAAGTGGCCAAAATGCTGTCACATGGCCATGAGGGGGATATCAGAACTGGCTCATATCTTTTGAAGGTTCTGATGTAACTTTGAGTGGTCATTAAGCAACCGGTTGAAAGTTGAGGACTATCTCTAGGTTGCATTAAAAGCCAATGTCACTGGAAATGGCAAGGGTTAAAGAGAAATAGGACACGCAAGGCACTGGGAAGATGCGCAGGCTGGCTAATATTCAAACCAAGTAGCCAAGCATGGAAGAAAAGGACAAGGTCCAATCACTTTTTAAGACTCTCCAGGATTTGTTTCAGGCAAAACCTGGAACAGCCAAGAGATTCTGCCAATCTGCTGCCTATCCAGTATACTTTGACAAACCTTCCAAAACATGATGCATTTGTTCCAGATTTAAAACAAAACATCATTTTTTATTTCATGCATTCCCTAATGCCATATGTTGAAACTTATTGGTATCCTGTTCCCTACCCTGGTTTTAAAAAATTCAGAAATTCCTCAGATGCCTTCTCAAGTTAAGTAAAGCAACTGGCAGGTCTATTTTTTGCAATCGCAAACACTACTACCACTAACACTAGCAATTTCACAGAATTATAAATCTGGAAAGGATCACTTTGGCTTTTGAGTCTAACCCTCTATATTTTCTTCCTCTTCAAAAATCAGTAGTAAATCAGGAACTGTTTTTATGGAGAGAGTATTTTCAGTATTGAATTTTACTTCAGAAGATGCAAAGCCAACCCACTTCAACCAATTTATCGTTTTTAGAAAGTGGCTTGATTACCTCTTCAAAAAAAATTTGTAAAACTTCCTCTGGTTTCTGCAAGGGGCATCTGAATTGGGGTTATATTGCTGATTCTTTTTAGAATGCTGAAATGTAGATTTAATTATTACTATCTGGAAAAAAAAACCTGCCTATCCCTGAAGGACAAAGAAATATTTCTTTAATAGACAAATCTTGTTCCAGGCTTAAAACTAATAGACAATAACCTAATTCCAAAATAATCATTGAGAATGTACAGAGACAAGTTGAAGGCTTATTGGGTTTCCATTCCATCTCAAACTCATTTTAAGTTTCTGGACGTAAAAGAGTCTCCTCAAATGCAGGAAACAGTTGTTTGCATTGGATTATGATGTCTTGGCTGAATTCTAACTAATGGGATGTTCAAATTATTATCCTATAATAAAAAAGAAGCTCTTTGCTTGTGTGTGAACAAGGGGCACAATGTCATGACAAGGCTGAGCATGTGTCCATGTGACAATGGATTGAGATTAAACAGGTATATGCTGAAAAATCAACAATATTTCTACCCATACAATGCAGCAATTAAGAATCAGAGGACGAAATATGATCTCTTGAAGAGATAAAACAATATGCCTCTGATCCAAAGAATAAAACAGTCAACAATGAAATGTTGCAGCAAATCCAGGGAAAGCTGAGCCCACTACTAAATTTTATCAGCACTCTGTTTATCTAGACATAGATTGTTTGCATAACTAATTGTGGATCCAATATTACAGAGAACTATTTGTTTGTTAATATTCTCTCTGAAAGTAGTTTATATAGAGATCATTGTATCTCCACAGCCAACAAATTTACGAGATGCTGACAGAGACCTCAAATCTTTCAATGACAAAGGGTAGACTTGAAGGGTCTCCCTCCCTTCTAGTCAAAAACCTTAGTCTCTGCAGCCCACTGTCTTCTACTATTGCTTGGGCTTCATTTAAGGCCAAATCTCCCCTAGTCTTAGTTAAAAAGCAACAGACTGGGCTTACCATCTTGTGTGTCTTCTCTAGTATGTATAGGAACATATCCATAATCTTTAATCCCTGGAACTATTGGGAATTGTAAGTGAAAATATCTAGTGACTTCTAGAGCTGGCTGCCTCCACCAGATGAAAAAGACTAACTGAGAGAGAGAGAGAGAGCAAAACCTTAATGCAAAATGTAAAAGCAGAAGAGCTGGGTTTATACAACTCAGTTATCCAGGTCAAAGACCTAGCAGCTCCATTTGTACAATCTGTTAAATTTGATTACTTTTTAGCTGAACCCAGTCAATCTGATTAGTTTTATCTTTAGTTTATTAGTTTATACATATCTTTATTATGGTTACTAACCAGAGAATATCAATGGGTGTTGGAAATAAAATAGTTTGTGACTAGTTCATTGACACAACCAAAGTATGCCTAATTTGGGTTAGTCTGTGATTCAGAATTTTGGCAACTGCAGAAAATGGGGTAACTCAATTAACTTGCTAAGGATTAGGAACATTGTAGTTTTATGGCAAATTCCAACGTGAACTCCTGTAAATCCAGTTGATACTGGCAATAAATTATGGGAGCAGTATAAAACCCTTACAAATCCTTGCTTTATCTCATAGAAAGTGCAACAATCAACTTGATGCCCTCCAGATTTGTTTTAGATTTAGCTCTAGATTTCTGGAGAATACCAGGTTGGAAAAATATGAATCAGAGATAGGAATAAGTTCTTACCTGTCTCAGAGTTGGTTGAAGCAACAGGCATTTCGATAACTAGAGAAGTCTTCTCAGTGATAGAATTACAAATAGTTAATTCTTCTTCTAATGAGCACCTGTGGCGATCCTGCAGAAAGAGAAGAAATTGAACACCTTTTCAAAAGATGATTGCAAAGATTTATCCCATTGCCTACAGTAGCATACACCTACTTAATTTTGAAACCAGTATCAAGTTCAGAAATTATTTATAAATAACAGACATGGTCTTAACTAGGTGATTTTTTATTTTATTTTTTTGCATTTTATTCTTTAGGTAATAAAGAGAGGAATAAGAAGAAGAGCTAAGTTGTCAAGGAGTATATCTTCTGCCAGTTTTACTTTCTCCTACATTCAAATTTTTTAAAATCTGAAAATTTCCCATCGCAGTTATGAAGAATATGCAAATTCTAGCAAGTTTTATCAAAAGCCCACCTAAATGAAGTAATCTACCATCTGCCCTATTCAAATTTGTGGAGTTGTTTCCGACAGTAAAAGAACTAAACAAGTGTGCAGCTGTGAACAATGAAGACTACATTCAAGAAAAGAAAATTGCCAACCATAATTAAACATCGCAACAGTGGAAAAAACACATAGAGATTCAAAGTGGGGCTTGTATCTCATTTGTTTTGCTTTTCCCACAATTTTTAACTAATCTCACATTCTTTGGGGCCAATATATTTTAAAAATGCAATTTCTCTTAAATTCTTACTGAAAAAAATACAAAACATTCTGACTTTAATAATACAGATAATATAGTTTATTGTTCACATACGTGTACTGAACTGTATGCTGACATTTCTTTGCAGGTGGATGCTGAAAGATTATACAGCAACCATTTGAAGTTACAATCAACTCAAAAACGGGGACTTAAAATCTGTGTCTGAAGATCAGATCCACTCTGTGGTTATGTCACCCAACTTCAGGTACACATCAATATGGTGGCACTGATGGTTATTTGCAGCATTTCAGTTTTTGACAAAACCATACCTATAATGGACTATTGGTTTGCTTAACAACTGCAGCATTTGTGCAACATTTGCCATGGTCATTTTACAATTGCTTGTTCACAAAAAGAGGTCATAAAATTTAGTCAGTTTCATGATTGACCTATTTTATGACCATTACAATAACATAATGGGCAGGCTCCTTTATGTTCATATGTAGAGGACTATCTGCATAATTGGAAATAATAAGCATGCTTTAAAATTGGAGAAAGAAACACTGTGTTGATGACATATAAAGGTAAAGGTTCCGCTCGCACATACGTGTTAGTCGTTCCCGACTCTAGGGGGCAGTGCTCATCTCCGTTTCAAAGCCAAAGAGCTAGTGCTGTCCGAAGACGTCTCTGTGGTCACGTGACTGGCATGATTAAATGCCAAAGGCGCACGGAACACTGTTACCTTCCCACTAAAGGTGATCCCTATTTTTCTACTTGCATTTTTTACATGCTTTCAAACTGCTAGGTTGGCAGAGCTGGGACAAGTAATGGGAGCTCACCCTGTTATGTGGCACTAGGGAGTCGAACCACTGAACTGCTGATCTTTCGATCAACAAGCTCAGCATCTTAGCCACTGAGCCACCGCATCCCTGTGTTGATGACATATACAATAGTATACAACATATGCAAAATGCAAAGCATTAGCAAGCCCCAATACTAGTAAAAGAACATAGTAGGAAAAAAATGGGACTAAAATTAAATATAAAGAAGACCAACTAATGACAACAAACAGAACCAGCAGCCTCAGAAATGGCAAAGTAGCTTTTAAGGATCAGCTATCAATAGTAAAGGATTAAGCAATCAAGAAATACACCATATACTAGCACTTGGTAGAGCAACTATGAAGGCCTTAGAAAAGATATTCAGATGCAGCACTGCATCTAATTACAATCATGCTGTGACACTCTATGGAAGCAAAAGTTGGAATTTAAAGAAGTAGGATAGTAAGAGTATTGATGCCTTTGAACTTTGGCTTGGAGAAGTCTCCTGAGGATACTATAGACAGCCAAGAAAACATGCCAATGGATCATCAAATAAATCAACTTAGCATTGCCACCCCAGATATAAATAACCAAGTTCAAATTATCCTATTTCAATCTATTATGCAAAGACCTAGTTCCCTAAATAAAGCTGTAGCACTAGGAAAGGTGCAATGAAGCAGAAGAAGTGGATGATCAGCAGCAAGGACTCAGTTATACTGGCAATAAGTATCCTATTGGGAGTCTTGAAATAACAGGGATAAATCATCATGCAGAAATGAAATTTTTTTTATTTTATTTATTTTATTTAAATTTGTATACCGCCCTTCTCCTAGTGGACTCAGGGCGGTGCACAGCCAAGTAAAAAGCATCCAATACAAAATTTAAAAATTTAAAAGAATTATACCCTTTGGCCAAAAATTTAAGAACCTTACGACTAAAACTCATTAAACAATTAAAAATCTAATATCTCAAAAATGGGGGGGGGTGTTTCACGCCAGCCCTGCTTGATGGAAGAGAAAAGTTTTTAGGGCATGGCGAAAAGCCCGGAGATGTGATATCCTCCGTATCTCTGGGGGCAAATCGTTCCAGAGGGCAGGTGCTACCACAGAGAAGGCCCTCCCCCTGGGGGTCGCCAGCCGACACTGCCTAGCTGACGGCACCCTGAGGAGTCCCTCTCTTTGGGAGCGTACTGGCCGGTGGGAGGCTATTGGCGGCAGAAGGCGGTCCCGCAAATACCCAGGTCCGATGCCATGGAGCGCTTTAAAGGTGGTAACCAGTACCTTGAAGCGCACCCGGAAGTCCACTGGGAGCCAATGCAGCTCACGCAGGAGAGGTGTCACATGGAGCGCCCTCTCGCTCCCATAATCCCCTGCGCAGCCACATTCTGCACCAGCTGGAGCCTCCGGGTGCACCTCAAGGGGAGCCCCATGTAGAGAGCATTGCAGTAGTCCAGGCGGGAAGTGACAAGTGCTGAGTGACTGTGCATAAGGAGTCCCGATCCAGAAAGGGACGCAACTGGTGAATCAGGCGAACCTGATGAAAAGCCCCCCTGGCCATGGCCGTCATATGCCCTTCAAAAGACAGCTGTGCATCCAGGAGGACACCCAAGTTGTGAGCCCTCTCCGTGGGGGCCAATAACTCGCCCCCAATAGCCAGCGATGACTCAACAGTATGTAATCCATCAATCAACAGTTTTATTATCTGTCATGATAACAAAAATATCAATATTCTGAAAAGGTTATTAAACTTTATCACTTTATATATTCCAACTATAAACAGTGTAATATTATTCTATTCAATTTAGGAATAAGTCTCATCATTTTCAACAGAGTTTTCATCCCAACTTCATTGTATTCCCCTACAGCTGAAGTTTTAAGTTCTAGTATAAAAACCAAATCTTTCTTTCTCCTGTGTATAAGTATTTATTGCACTAGATAGAGGCTAGACAGAAAAAAGGAAGTCTTGGTTCTTACTGGACCTTAAAAATTACAGCTGCAGTGGAATACAATGAAGTTGGGATGTCAGCTCTTAGAGGCAAATCCTTCCAGCTGGATTGAAAGGTTGCTCATTTTGTGCCTAGTTTCCTGTAAGGGTCATTGCCAAAGAACTAAAAATATATTTTCCCAAAAGGACTGATGAACTGGTTGAATTTTCCCAAAGCAATCAAACTGCTTCTTTCTCCTGCAAGATTGATGTTACCAATAACCCATGAGGTTATCCAGACAAGAAGCACAATCAGGAATACTATCTCTTTCTTTATTGTTAAGTTACATTAACAGAATTTTACAAGACTGAAAGTATTTCTCTTTCCCCCCCCCTTTCCTTTCCTTTGCTTTTACAGTCCAGAAAACTAGGAAGAATCCCTTCTGAAATGTTTCCCACACCATCCTCCCTTTGGGTGAACTGAGACACTTTTTACATGCTGGTCATCCAGTATGCAGCTCTCCCTCCTGTCTCCCAAGACCATTCCCACAGACCATCACACTCCCAGACACTAGGAAAAATATTGCAAGAAGACGTAAATTATTATTATTTATCTTTTCTTCCAAACAATAGATCTGATCTATTTTTTTCCTCCAATAGTACTGGGAGACGGTGAAGATTGACCGAGAACAACTGGTTCAAATCATCCAGTGAACTTACAGCTAAATGGGGATTTGAACCAAAATTTCCCAAAGCTTAATACCAAATTACACTGAATATTAATATCTTTTCAGCAATTGTCTCTTTTTCTAAGACCTAGAGGTGCAACTCATGAGTTGATGCATCCCTAGGTATGGTGAAAATGAACCAGCTACTGTATGTGTGAGAAAATATAGATTTTCTTATAAATTCTAAAGTTTTAGCCAATATTCCTTGCATGATTTCCTGGGCTGATCTCCTCTAATGTGCTCCATTATTAGCCCAACCCTCACTGACTGTTCACAAGAGAAATCTCAGCCAGGTCTGCTGACAGGAGGAAAATATTAGTCAGAGAACTGACATGCCCACAAGCAGCAGTTAATCAATAATTCGACAATCAATAATACATTAGGAATGGAGTTAGTCCTAATTAAGAGGCGAGATGCAGCCGTTCCCTACAGGAAGTATAGACTGAACTGTATAAAAGAATCTGTATAAAACTGTATAAAAGAATTTAAAAAACACAGATTCAGATAAGAATTCTTGGTAGCTCTGCCTAAATTGTGAAGAGACAAGGCAAGGACATAAAACCAAGATTTATTTTACTTTGGTTACCATATTTATTTTATGGGATTTCTTTTTTGCAGAAAAAGAAACCACCTCTAACAAGCATCCTTCGGTGGTTAGACTCCAGGCTGTTTAGAAACCCAATAAATGCCTAGCCTTGCTTTTTTTAATCTTCTTCAAGAATCAGACCCTGAAGAGAGAATTTCAAAATTCCCAGCTTCTCTTGCCATTTTATTCCACTACATTCCCTTTCAGAGTGGGGAAAATTGAAGGCAGTCTTTTGCAAGATTAGCAGGAGATAGATTGAATGCTGCAGAATTCCCCACCCCAAATTATTAAAATGGTGAGAACTGGAGGGTAAAAACTATGCTCAAGATTACAGAAGTTAACCAGTGGGTGAAAACAAGACATATATCTATAAAGTATAAAATGGGACTGAGGGCTCAATCAGTTCTTGGTATTTCACACTCTTATTTCAGATGTTTGCAGTGTGTGATTTATGATCATTTAATAGCATTCTGGACTGGTCTTTAGGCTTTCAACATTATCTAATTTTTTTCACATCTTGGATACAGGCAAACAGAAACTACAGATTCCAGGGTAGAAAACTGTTGGACACAAATTATATTTCCCATCTGTATAAGGATCATCTAGGGATGCTTTAGAGATACACAAATCTCAAAAACAAGAGGAGGAGGATGGCAAGCAGGGAAAATAAAGTTCAGTAAATTCTGTAAAGATTAGAATATTTGTTCTAATCTGTAAAGATTAGAATATCTATTTGCCTGCTGCATTTTGAATCTTAACAAATCCTTGTTTTTGCTGCCACAATAAAAATGTTTTCGTATAGCATATTGCACTTGTAGTCTACATAAGCCTTAAGGTTGCAAAGTAAGCAACTCTTATGGAATTGCTTCAACAACAAAAATATTCAGCAGTAAATCTTAGGGAATTCTGAGCTAGTTTGGCATTAAATTTTGGAGTATGACTTAGGCAGAATGGAATCCCAATTTCCAATCTCAGTTCCAATTTAGATGGAGGAAAAATCTGAGTGGCAAATTCAATGAATTCATACCATAGAATGGCAGTTAAATATTGGGTTCATATTTGTGGAACATGGAATATTCACAAATAGGAATGTTTTTGTTTGAAAGTGCTTTAAATGATTAAACTTTATAAAGTGAAGGGGGGAAATGCTTATGAGATTCCTGTTAGAAATGTGGGATATAAATTGTTTATGTGCCATCAGGTTGTTTTCAGTGACCTCATAGATTTTTTTCCCATGACAATCTATCCCCAATGGGGTATAAATAAAATAAAATGATCTGGCTCAGAAAGGTCACTGGAAAAACATTCAATGAAGAAAAGAAAAGGTTGGAAAGAGAAATAATTTCCTTGGTAGCTGGACTTAATCCTTGCTCTTTGCTCTTCTACAAACAAAACTTCAGATTTTCCTTGTCAGCTATGCTTTTTAAGATGCATGATTATTGTTTTTTAACCATTTTAACATGTGTGTGAGGTTTTTATTTCTCTTGAAGCTGTTTTGAGTGTCCTCAGGAAAAGATTGAAAATAATTATTTGAGAAAGAGTGGTGGAAGGAGATTATAGGGGATTGTAGAAATCCTCACTGAATGCAAGGCAAGCTATATCTAGAGCCCAAAAGATGTTTTTATTTTAAACAATTTAGAAGGGAAAATCATGGCCATCATCATTCTTAAGGCCAGGACCCAAAAATCTTAAACCGAGAATTGTTTGAGGGTGGGGGGGGGTCATACTTCCTTATGCATCTCTTGTACAGGTTGTATGCAAATAGCATAAGTAACAATAGATTTTTCCCTCTATTTGACAGCAGGTAGAAGGATCATTAAGAGAGATCATTTAGAGCAGCTGTTCACAGTATGAACACCTTGGGCAGTCATGGTTGGTTGACTGAGGGTAATAAATATGTTTAAGGGACAGAAAGATTGTGGTAGGAATTTGAGCTTGCACTCATGTTGCTTTTAGGAAAGCATCAATCTTCCATAAAATAGTCCTCTATATCTTTCATGCATACACAGACCATCATAATCTATTCATCCACTAATCTTGTGTGCCCCAAATCAGTAGTCCAAGGAAATCAACACCATTATGACATATCCATTCAAAATTATCAACCTCAGCACCAACACACTTGTGCATTATGCAGAAATGAGTTCACGTGACAAGTGGGGTGGGGGCAAACAGACCACTAATCTTTTCGGTGTGCCAGCCTATCATCACATTTCATATTATGTAATACACTGTGCATTCCGCCTCCATGGAGTGCAATGTTAGTAGCTTTCTATTTTTATAGACACACACACACATAGAAGACAGAGTCTTCTTTTTTTAAAAAAAAGAGGAAATACAGATCATTCAGGGCCATTTTGAAAATAAAATCTCAAGTATGTTTCAAAATTTGGCTACAACTGGAACTGCATATGCTGAAAAGGAATGCTAAGTATAGCTATACTCTCTTATCTACCAGAATTTTAAACATCAAATTGCTTTTATCCTCTTGCCTCCCCCCTCCCGCCTCCCAACCCATACAAAGAAATTCTCAAAAGCTATGGTAGCAACTAAAAATCTGAGACTAGGGGATAGGATAATGTAAAAGTGTACATTTTACAATATAAATCATTTTTTTTACTATCTTTCATGCTCACAAAAATGGGGATTCATGGACGATGCATTTGACACAGATAAACTATTGTGAATTAAGCCTTAATAATCATGAGTAATTATACTGGCTTGTGGTGGGGAAGTTGGGCTGGCTGCAAACCAAAGACACTTTACACATGCTTGTGAATCAGGATTTTTTTATTATTATTATGCCAAATAAATGTAAAATGAATCTGCAGAGTTAATGTCATCTGCTTTTTTTTCTGACAATACAATCTGTGCAACTTTCATCTTTTTGCCATCAGAACAATTTGGAATAAATATTTAGTGACAGAATGTTCAGAATGGTCCATGGCATAGCACATCTGGCTGAATATCATTCAAATATCATTCAAATTTATAAACTTATGTCAGAAACTAAAATGAATTAAATGGACTATGTCAATGATGTAAGAGAGATTAGGCCCTTACATTATATCTAACAATGACAAATTACCAGGTTGGTGGTCAAGGCATCCAGCTAGAAACCAGGAGATTGGGAGTTCTAGTTCACTTTAGGCATGAAACCTGGCTGGGTAATTTGAGCAAGTCACTTTCTCTCTCAGCCCAGTGCACCTCTCATGGTTGTTGTTGGAAAATAGAAGGAGAGAGTATTAGGAATGTTAGCTGCCTTGAGTTGTTTATAAAAATAATAAATGTAGGATTAAAAATCTAAAATAAAAAAGGTGCAAAATTAATCACAGTTTAGCACAGCTTGTCTTGTGTGTGACTGATCATTAGCCAACAGCAGTCACTTTAATACAGTTTCAAAGTAGAGAACTTTGCACATTCCAGATGTGATAGATTCTTAAAATCAGCATGGTCATTGACCAAGAATCAGGGGAAGGCAAATTAAATACTTGGAGACCAAGGGCTTGGTTACTCCTGAAGTTTTGTGTTGGGTGAAGAAGCCCATGGTTCAAATACTTACTCAGCCAAGAATCTAATTAAGTGACTTCAGTTCTACTTTCTCAATTCAACCTACCTCAAAAGATTGTTGTAAGGAGAGGAGTAGAGAAAGAGAGAGTGAGCCAGATAAGTGACAAAGCAAAAGAACACATATCCTAATTTTTAAGCACTCTTTTTCTTTCTTTCTTTTTCTTTTTTCTTTTCTTTTCCTTTTTTTCTTTTCTTTTTAAAAAACAGCATATTTTACACTCCTAGCTACATATAGTGGAAGAAAAGAGGAAACATAGAATGTAATTTCTTTTTCTCATTAAGTCTGAACAGGTTTCCAGCATTTTTTAAATCTCAAGAGTTGGATGCGTGTGCTATATTAGGTATCCTAGCTATCCAAACAGGTAATCCATCTCAAATTCAGAAATGCAGATCACCACCTATTTTGTGTTAATTTGCTGCAAAACACTAAAATACTGCACAGTTGCCGTATTCTGGAATAAGGCAAAGACCTAGGGAGTTGAATAATGTGAGAAGATGTGCCATCCATTTTGTCTATCATCACACTATGATGAAATAAGGCAAAGCAATTTAAAGAAAAGGACCACCCTTAAAATACCCAGGGAGTGGTGAAGATTGGGTGGCTTAAAGGCATATTATGGTTTCCCCACACAAAAATAAATACTTTTGTCCAGGAAAAAGAAAATATTCATTCATTCATTCATGCCCCAGTAAAGAGAACATCTTTCAGATGGATTTGAAAGGAATCATCATCATCATCATCATCATCATCATCATCATCATCATTATCATGCCAGTAACAAGCTGCGGAAGCATTACGCCGATTCCTGTGAAAGCAATTCCCACTGAGACTTAATTCAAAGTAGACTCACATCGTGGATCGCACTACAAATAAACCCACGTAGTGAAACAATGATTGCCATTTTGCACAATACACCAACTAAGCCATACCCCTGGCTACCCTTAATAATGCTGATCGTCTAATCTAATCTGTTTGTGATTCAGTGTGTTATGAAAGCCCAGAAATCTGGCTTATGTTCATCGTGGCTCAATTAACCATAGTTAAATACGTCACATGAACACCCAGCTATTCTCTATGATGTGGATAACACACATCTCCACCCCTCTTTTTCCAACCAGGAATCGGAGGAATTATTATATTCATCATTTCAGGTCTCTTCCAACCTGTACTACTCTTTAAATCCGCGAACAGTTTAAAATGAAACCACACAAGCCTCCAAGACCTCACGCGCGCAACGCTACTCAAGGCTAAACGAAAGGCGGAGAGGAAAGAGGGAATCCGATACTAGTCTGGCAAATCCGCCCATTAATAATAATTAAAAAGACAGATCGGAAAGGATCCGCGTGGTTTTGGAGTGAACTGATCTGAAAGGAGGAGGAATGGGAGGAAGGAGGGCGTAAATCTCCATCGAGAGCTAAATCTCAAGATAAGAGATTCTGTTTAGGGTTAGAGGCGAGGTGACACAATGCAAAGGAAGAACCAGGGCGACAGCGAGGGGACACTCCAGCCGAGAGGGAGCGAAATGGGTTGGAGTGGGAAGGGTAGAAAAGGAAGGGACGAGGTCCACTAAAATCGTGGGAAGGCTTACAGGGGGCTTATTGCTTCATCCCTTTATTAAAGACAGGAGCCGGGAGACGAGAGAAGGAAAGAGAAAGGGAGAAATAGATGCGCCAAAAGAAAGAAGGGGGAAAAAGCTGTCAGCCCCCAACTCACCTGTTTACGGTGGCGATTAGAGCCGAGGCTGGGTGGGAATACCAAGTCCCCCTTTCTCTCTCTTGAGCTTGGAGATTCGCGGCTTCGTAGCTGAGCTTTGCCTCGGTTTGACTGGGAACCGGCTCGGATCATTCTTGACGTCTCCTCTAGGGGCCTTAAAGGGGCAACACTTCACAGAAAGATGCGATGGGCCCCACCAAGCCACGGCTTGCGGGAAAAGCTTTTTTTTCCTCAGGCTTTTTCTTATTATTTCACAAGCAAAGTACATGCGATCGGGGGTTTTGATTGGATATGGCTCAAACATTAAATTTTGCCGAAAGGAGAGGCCACGGCTTTGAACAGCTTCTTCTCTTGGGGGCACAGATGCCATGTCTCTTTTTCCACGCTCTCCTAGGACAAGTTTGCAGGCATGTTGACACCCAAATTGGCCAACTATTTTTCACCATCGCTTGTCATAAGACCATCCAAAATTGTGCTGGTACCATAAACCATGATTGTGTAACAAGTTTATGGATGACAAAGAGACACAGATAAGGTTCAACTTGCAATTATACCAATATTAGTTTGTTTTTGATTTAATGGAAGCCCAGCCCGTTGCAGCATATTGGTCTATGTATTAATAAATGGAGGTGTGGCATAAGATATGGAACAGTCAAATAGGCTGAGTTCATATAATATGTTATGCAGTGGTAAAATCCAATTTTTTTTACTATCGGTAATGTGGGCGTGGCTTGGTGGGCATGGCAGGGAAAGAATACTGCAAAATCTCCATTCCCTCCCCACTCCAAGAGAAGGATATTGCAAAATCCCCATTCCCTCCCCACTCCTGGGGGAAGGACATTGCAAAATCCCCATTCCCTACCCACTCTGGGGCCAGCCAGAGGTGGTATTTGCCGGTTCTCCAAACTGTTCAAAATTTCTGCTACCGGTTCTCCAGAACCTGTCAGAACCTGCTGGATTTCACCCCTGATGTTATGCTTAATGCTTGTTTTAAGCAAGATTTTATGATTAAGGAACAACTGGCTGAGTTTACAAATCCTACTGCTAAATCCAAACCAAACAAACTTTATTATGACAAGAACATCCCTGGCACCATTTTCTTCCTGTCCAAACCTCTAAACCTTGGACAGTTGGGCAGAACTCTACATGATATTTGTCCCCTTGCTTCAGCCGAGCTAAAATGTCACATCTGAACATCTGTATGTTATTGAGCTGTGAAAAGCACCAGAACAGAAAGTTTGTTGTGCAAAAATTCCAGGCAACGTACAGAGTTCGTGGTTAGTTCATAAAGATAGAATGGATTTAATAATTTTAGCGGGTTGTAAAATGAGTTACTGGCCAGGCAAGAAAGGGTTAATAAATTGTGCTGGAGATGGAATCTGAAAAGAAAATATATGTAAGGCTAAATCAAGGTGCAAAATGTTTCATGGCAATATATACAGATAGTCCTCGACCTATGACCATAATTGAGCCCAAAATTTATGTTGTTAAATGAGACATTTATTAATTCAAGCTTTCCCTATGACCCTTCCTGTCACAGTTGTTAAGTGAATCACTGCAGTTATTAAGTTACTAATATGGTGGTTAAATGAATCTGGCTTCCCCACTGATTTTGCTAGTCAGAAAGTCACAAAAGGACACAGCAATGGTCATAAATATGAACCAGTGGCCAAGCATCTCTATTTTGATCACATGATCAGGGGAATGCAGCAGAGGCCATAAGTGTGAAAAATGGTCCTAAGCCACTTTTTTCAGTGATGTTGTAACTTTGAACGGTCACTAAATGAAGTGCTGTAAGTTGAGGACTACCTGTAAAAACAAGAGAATTTGGACAAGCATTTCCCTAATAAGACTCTTGTAATCCCTTGGTCATGGAAAAGAACAATTTGATTTGACTGAAAGCTGCCAACATGATGACATATTGAGGTGGCCCATCAGTCCAGTGTACAGAGGAACACCTGAGGGAAGAAAATATTTCCTCTTCTATCAAGGTTTATTTTCTAAAGGGCCCTCTCTAGAGCTCCTTCCTACTCTCTTTCTTAGCCAGAGATAAAAAGTGTATTTTGGTATGTAAGATTTGAATGATTGTTTGAGTGAATATGAGATGCTTATATTACTAAAATAAAGTTTTTAAAATATTCTGATGGTATCCTGGGGTCATTGGGTGATGTTCACTGACTTTTCTGCCACATAAAAAGATTCCCAATTCTGTTAGGAAGGGCCGTCATTTCAAAACAGTGAGGGAAGCAACCTTGTGCCCTTCCACCTTATATTTATCAGCTCCAGTCAAACCAAGGAATGACGGGACACTTGGGGAATTGTATTCCAAAATATTTGGAGTGCACTGGTTACCTGAGTTAGATGGTCAGCCTCTACCAATGCAGTATGTCAGCCAGATATCTTGAACTTCAGTCTCCATAATTCATACCAAGCTTGATCTTTGAGATGGATATTATAGGATTTCTGGAAAGCTCTGAATTAGGTATTAAGTACGTACATTGATATATGTACATTAGTGTCTAATGTGCATTCAATTAGTCTTGCTTGCTTGTTTGAAGAGCAGCTTCAAACAAAACAGTAACTCAATGAGCTAAAATTAGAGTAAACCTATTACAAACTTTATGCAATTGCATTTCACATTATAATGGTTTCTAATGTCCCTCAGCAGTTGGATTTGAGCAGGTTTGTCCTAAATTTAAATCACTGGGTTTAAGGTTGCTGACTTTTTACTAGGCTGTGATGTTTTGTAAATGATTTGCTTATTCACTGCTTCAAGAAGGCAGGGTTGCAAATACTTTTCAGCCAGTGGCATCTACAGTATTCCACAATGACATCAAAAATGTATCTAGTGATGTCATCACACAACTGATGCACTTAGGTAATGACATCATGTTGTTTGATCAAAGTAAAAAGTCATGGCATATGTGTGATATAATGCATGTTGAGCAAATACAACATTTGCTCAACTGGCAGACACCAATGTTTTCAGCAACTGACTCTTATTTCAAGATGGGTCCTCAAACACTAAGCCTCTTATCAGCCATAAAGGTCATTTTTATGGATTTAGATTCAAGTGGCAACTATTTTCAAATACTAAATTGCTAGTACAAGGACAGTCTTATTTCAATAAAACATAACCCCACTTTTATTATTACAACAATCCTCTCCTTTGAGTTATGCTGGGAGTAATGGATTCAAAGTCACCCAATAAACTCGTGGATTTTAAAAAAATGAATGCATAGCTTCAAAGTTTTAAGTTCCGTTCCTTCATTACAATTCTGCTCTGAACACATGACAAAGAATACACTGACCACATACTTTTATGTAAACAAAGCATAGCCATCATGTTGAATGATGAGATTGCTAGCTTTTCAAACACTTGTTGGAATGCTTCTCATCTTTACACAAACTGTTTAAAAAGTGTTGGCACCTGTATATTTATATCAGTCATTTACTTTAACTTAAGATGCATAAGGAAGTAGTAATGATATAGTTGCCCCTTCTAAATGACAACATGGGAAGGAAAATTGTATGTGGAATAGTGAGGAAATAAATAATGAAAAGCAGGAGTTGTTTGCATAAAACATCCATGACTAACTGAACCATGGTTTACTAAGTCAACTCAATTATCTGTATTCACATAAAATACTGAATAATAACAGGGCACATAAGATGGGTTTGGAATATACACTAGGCCAGGGGTGTCAAACTCATGCCAAGGGGTCATCACGTGATGTATCGTAACCTTTCCCCCCTTTGTTAAACTGGGTATGGGAGTGGCCAGCGCATGATGCATCCGGCCTGTGGGCCACGAGTTTGACAGCCCTGCACTAGGCTAAAATGTGGCTGACTCCTTTGTAGTTCAGCATGCCTTATACAATTTTAGTGTTTCAGAATGATTAACAGAATTAGGGGTTGATAAGGTAACCGAGTCTGGTCTAGTTGTTAAGGCACTGTTGGAAGATTTAAAAACTCCATGACACTCTGTTTAGCCACAAAACCCAACCTCCCCCCCCTTTTTTTTTTCATCTATTCCACAGGCAAACCTTCCCCTGACTCACATGCAAGATTATAAAAATCTTTACTCTGAAAATGTAAAAATCTGTAAATTTAAAAATTAAAAAACCTGTAAACTGAAATTTAAATTTAAGCTGTAAACTGGCAGTCAATACAGGTGAATCAATCAGGAAGCAAGATCATCTCAAAGATATGGAAACCTCTTAAATCACAATAGCTGAACCCAGATCCCTAACACTGGACTCCCCATAAAAATTCCACACCTAGAGAAGATTCTACACTTAGAAAATATCAACACTCCCTAACCATGTGACCCCAGAACAAAAACACTTCAATCAATATATCTACACACCTCATTTCACTATAAATATTACTGCTCTGATTTCATGGCTACCTTGAAAAGCTGAACTGTAAGTTTTGATTTGCTGTCAGATAAAGTCTCTCCATTTTGTGCACTGTGCTCATTTATTCAGCCACAGAATGGACCAGAATTTTCTTCTAATAGCAGCAGGCTAGAAACCCAGAGCATGTGACTTTTAGTTTGGCCTTAAGCACAAAATCAGCTAATGACTTTGGGTCAGTTGCTTTCTTTCAGCCCAACTCATCCCATAAGGCTGGTTGTTGTGGGAAAAATAGGAGGAGGAAGGAGTATTAGGTATGCTTGATACCAGGGGTGGGATTGAAAAATTTTAGCAACCGGTTCTCTGCCCGGTTGCTGGGTTGGTGTGGTCACAGAGGCATGGCCTAGTCGGCTTCCTACACCATGGCGGGGGGGCGTTTTTGTCCTCCCCAGGCTCCAGAGGCTTTCCTCAAGCTTCTGGGAGGGCAAAAACAGCCTCCCCCGGCTCCAGAGGCCCTCCAGAGGCCAGAAATGGGCCTGCTTTGGTACTTCTGATACTTCCAATAGGCCCATTTTTCACCTCCCAGAGCCTCCGCGCAGGCCCTGAACTTACCTGGCATCCAAAACGGGCAACATGGAGACTCCTGGAGGGGAGGATCAGGGTGGGTGGGGTCAGCCAGTACTTGCAACTACCAGTTCGGCAAACCAGATTAAAATTAACATCTGTTTCGCCCAAACCGGTCAAAACTGGCT